AGGGGGCCACATCCCGGAAGTTCACCCAGCATTGTTATTCCTGCGCAGGGTGCCCAGGTGGAGTGTGCAGGTGTTCACACCACAGCCCTGCCCAGGTTACCGTCCCCTCCCACAGCTCTGTGTGAGTGCAGACCCTGCCCTGCTGGCTCCCACCTTGGGCATGTTCCTGGTGGCCTTCTCTGATGTGGATGTGCTCTGTTCATTAGCAGCTGGGGGTCATGTCCCTGGGGAATCTCAGCTAACAGGGTCCGGGAGCACCAGGCATCCCATCTGCACGCTCCTTACCTGGTTCTTCAGGGCCAGTCCTGAGGGGTGTTCTGTACACCCAGGGGGTCCTAGCAGACGGAGCTCCATGGCAGTGACCTTGATCACTCTCTCACCTGGCGCTGGCTTCTCCTGGCCTTCCTCTCCCTGCTCCCTCCTCCCTGTGGTCTGGGATCTTAGATCAGGAAGCTACCTGCAGCCAAGTCCTTGTCTCTGACCCAAACTAAGCAACTGCCATGGAGACAAAGTAGATGCACAGGGAACAGCATGGATGGCCCAAAGAGCAGAGTGCTGGGGTGGGAAGAGCAGGGGCAGAACAAGCCATAGAGCCTGCATATGTAAAAAGCACTTCCACATAAATAAGTACACGTTTTACTACAACACCTTCAGAACAATCATGAAAATAAGGGAGAAGAATTAGTGGTAGAATAAGAAAGGGAAGAAAGAAAAGATCTTTCTTTTCTAGATGTAAGGTCATGACCCTGCTGAAGCTGTTAATGCTATCTTGAACTCTGGGAGTCCATTGAGAGAGAGAGAGAGAGAGAGAGAGAGGAAAGAGTTCTCCTTTTGTAACCATCATGTTTACTGAGCATTTACTGTGTTACATATATTATCTTCTGGAATCCTCACAACGGCTCCAGGCAGGGATGCATATTGTTCTCTGTAACTGAAAGACAAGGAAACTAAGGCTCAGGGACCCATCATTTCTCCACCAACGTCACACAGCCAGCTGCTAGGGTCCAGGTGTGTCTCAACTTGATCCCACGGGTCACCGCCTTCTGCCCTTCTTGGTAAAATTTAGCTGTGATTCTTGCTTGTGGGATGCAAAGGGTAGGGTCGGGACGCCCCTGGGGGGCTGCCCAGTGCCTGGCCAGGGGTAGTGGGTCTATGTGGAGTCGGAGAAGGGCTGACGGAGAGAGCTTTTCTCGTGGTATCCTGGGGCATGCGCTCAGCCCCGGCGCTGTCCCTTAGTTTCTCTTAGGGCACAGGATGGCCTTACTGTCCCCCCAGGAAAAGCCTCAAGCGGCTGCTGGGGAGCAGAGGAGGGATTTGGGGAGCAGGAGAGGAGGGTGCGGGGGAACCTCCCAGCACCTGGTTTTGGAGCCTGAGCATCTCCCAGCCACACGCCCTCCCTGGCCTGGCTTCTGGTCCTCCAGCGCCCAGCTGGCCCCTCCGCCCGGCCCTGTTCTCCCGCGTGTGCCCGGCTATTCACATGTGTGGGTCCCTGCTCTGGCACCAGCCCCCCATCCTCTCGACCAGGTAATCTAAAGTCATCTCCCAGCCCCCCACTTCCCAGAAGGTCACCCCTTAATTTCCCTTGTAGCTCCTGGCACATCTGTGAGGCCCTCACCTCTTTGCTGTGTGACCTTGGGTACTTACTCAATCTCTGGGCCCAATTTTTCCATCTCGGGATTGTCAAGGTGGTTAAATGAGATACTCGTAAGGTACTTAGAATTTTTCCTGGGCACGGACTACATGCCCCGCAGGCATGTAGTTCATAATCATCATCAACATCGATATATTGTCCTCCTGCTTCCGCCAGAGCGTCCTCTTCCTGAGGGTAGCGGCCTTGTCGGTCTTGTATTCTATGCCAGAAACAGAGTTTGGTTCATAGTACGTGCTCAAGAAAAATTTTTTTGAGTGAATGGCTACATAACAGTTCTAGAAGAAATGGAGCCCAAGGTTCCATGAAGCCAAACAACAGATATTAAAAGAATTGGGGGTTCAGTGAGCCTCTGCCCGTGGAGCTGGGTCCACACGTGGAAGTGGACATGGAGGGACAGTCCAGGCACTGGCTGCTGGGCTGTGCCGGGCTTTAATGTAAGGGGGACGCAGCCTGTGCCCGGTCTTCACGCAGATTTGGTACCTTCCCGGACAGAGTGAGGTCTCACTTTTCGCTCTGGGCAGCCTCGAGGTCCATTTGGAAGATGGGGTAAGTGGAGGCTCTGAGAAGGATACTTCAGGGTCCCCCAAAAGCGAGACCTTGGGCTCCTGGGGGGTCCTGCTGGCCCCGGAGCCCTCTGCTGGGCTGGCTGGCGGCTGCCCTCAGCCCCCTGGGCCCTCACCCTGCCCTGCCCGGGCCACCCCTCTGCTCAGCAGCTGTCACCATACCAACCTCAGGATTCAAACAGAGGGTGTTTCCTGCACAGTTACTATGTGCCTGGCTCCGTCCAGCGCCTGACCTAGGAGGTCAGTTATTTCTCCCAGAAAGTCTGAGGCGTGTGTTAGGTGACGGAGCTGCGCAAGGCCACGCTCCTGACCTGATAATGACGTGGTGTCTCTGCCAATGTCCCCGCGATGAGGAGTTGCACACGGCACCAAGGAGGGCCGCATCAGCAACAGGGCAGGGGCCAGCTTCCTCGCAGATGGTTCAAGAGAAGGAAGCAGAGATAGAGGTGGCGGACGGATAGACAGACGGGTGGGGACAGCCAAGGTGCCCAAATACCAACAACGGGGGAAACACACCGTGTTCGGGGATTTGTGATTCTCATACCTTTTCATCAGGTTTGAAACAATATTGAACACAAAGGGCCCACGGGGGTGGCCGTGCTCTTGTCCCTGCTTTAGGAAATCAGACACGGGGACGCTAGCATTTGTGGGACAGGCTCTGGAAATACCGGCTGTCTCATCAGTCCTCACGAGGACACCAAGCAAGGATCAGAGACGTGCTGTGACCTGTCTACCCTCACACAGCAAGAAACCCGAGGGAGTCTGCCTTGGAGGGTCTCCCTGCCTGACCCCCTAAGGCTTCGTGTGGACAGGCTGGAGCCAGAGAGGGGACCCTCCAGTGTCCCCAGGTCAGGCGCCCTGTGTCTTCCCAGCCTCGCCAGGTGCCTCGGGCTGGGCACACTTCTCTGGGTGCCCTTGCTGTCTCCCCTCTGGGCCCTGCAGGCAGCTCTCCCGGCAGCCCCTGGTGCTCCCCGGCTGCTGCATTCTCCTCGCATGGTCTGTCCAGGGGCCGGGCAGGTGGGGCTGTTTGCCAGCACAAACACGAGATGTGTGCTCAACACTCGCAGCGGCTCCTCCGCCCAGCAGTGTTTGCTCAGCAAACAACGCTAATTCCTTGGTCTCTGGGCTGCGCTGCGGGCCCCCAGAGCGGAGCTTGTTCATCAACTCCCCTGACAGCCCGGGGCCTACACCACCAGCGTGGCCCGCCCCCAGCAGGACTGGGACCCTCCTCCACGAGGACCTCAGGAAGACACTGGCCACCCACCGTGGTCTGTGAGGGAGCATCCTCCACCAGAATCCCCCAGCCCCCGGTGCTGGGTGCAGGGCAGGGGCTTCGGATCCAGACACTGGACCTTGAATGCCTTTGGGGAGCTCCCTCCTGACCCTGGCTTCGGTTGGATTCATCCTCCAAGATCCAGGATCCAAGATCCTCCAAGATCCAGGAAGCCTGTTTTCCCCAGCTTGCATCCATCCACCCATCTGTCCATTCACCCATCCATCCATCCATCCACCCACACATCCACCCACCCACACATCTGCCCATCCATCCATCCATCCATCCATCCACCCATCCATCCATCTGTCCATCCGTCCAACTATTCATCCTATCTACCCACCCATCCATCCACCTAACCATCCATCCATCCACCCATCTGTCCATTCACCCATCTATGCATTCATCCACCCACACATCCACCCACCCACACATCTGCCCATCCATCTATCCATCCATCCATCTGTCTGTCCGTCCAACTATTCATCCTATCTACCCACCCATCCATCCACCTAACCATCCATCCATCCATCCACCCACCCACACATCCACCCACCCATCCATCCATCCATCCATCCATCCATTCATCCACCCACCCACATATGTGCCCATCCATCCATCCATCCGACAACCATTCATCCTTCTATCCACCCTTCCATCCTTCCATCCACCTACCCACCATCCATCCACCCATCCACCTACCACCCATCCCTCCATCCAGTGCTACCCAGGGCTCACTGTGGGCCGGGCAGGGCTGGGTGCTGGGGATGCTGGGTGTCTATAACCAACCCCAGGGGCAAGGTCCATCATCTCGAAGCCCATGTAACAAAGTGGTTACCACACAAATCAACACGGCCATTAGGGGAGAAAAGCCAAGCAGCAGTAGAGGGGATGCCGAGAAAGGTGACCAAGAATAGCCCTCGAAAATGGGATGCGTGAGCTCAGACTTGGTGGGGGGCGGGGGACGCAGACCCATGTGACTGGTCCCTCCTCTTGCCTCAGGCGCCCCCTGGCTCACCAAGATGTGGTTATTGAAAATGTTGACATCTTAGATTTTTTTAAAAAAAATTGACATGAGACTCCTGTAACACAACATTCATTTTGCCCATTTCAACGTGTCGTCCAGCACATCCATCCGAGATCCAGGAAGCCTGTGGTGTGACCCTCTCCCCCATGGTCACTATGGTGTGACCCTCTCCCCCATCTCATTCCAGGACATTTCCCTCATCCAACAAAGACCCTCCTACCCACTAAGTGGTCACTCCCCAGTCCTCCTCCCCCGCCCCTCACCACTGCTGATCTTGCCGTCTTTGCGGATCTGTCTGCTCGGGACGTGTCATGGACGCGAAATCACATGACACGAGGTCCCGTGTGTCTAGCTTCTTTTCCTCAGCGTCACGTTCTCAAGGAGCCAGGCCTTCACGACTTTTCAGGGCTGAATCGTATTCCATCGTCTGGGGAGGACACATTGTATTTATCTCTTTATCCATTGGTGGGATCTGGAGTCATCATAGACTTTTTGTATCAGTTTTTATTTTTAAAGAATATGACATCAAAATTGTACTGATGTGTGGAAGAGGGTTTCAGCGAGGAAGGAAACCATAGGAGAGCCTTGGCGGGGAGGGAGGGAGCGTGGAGCAGGAGGTCCCTGGGGAGGGAGCTCCAGGCAGTGGACCAAGGGAACATGCTGGGGGCATTTGAGGAGCAGCAAGAGGCTCAGGTCGGATGGAGTGAGGGAGACAGGGGGAGCCCTGGAGACGGGCAGCGTGGAGGGATGTGGGGTGAGGGTGAGAAGTGGCCGGACCAGGAAAGGCTCTTTCGTTCTGAGAGTGACGGAATCCACTGGCTGGTTGGGGGTTGTCGGATTTGCTCAGTCTGCTTGCGGTTTTCAAAGGTCATTGGCGGCTCTGTGGGGGCGGGGTGAACAAAATAGAAAGTAGGAGCTGGGCACAGTGGTGCACCCCTGTCATCCAGCACTTGGGAGGCTGAGGCAGGAGGATGGGAAGTTTGAGTCCAGCATGGGCAACCTCACCTCAAAATAAAAAATAAAAAGGAGCGGAGGTGGAGCTCCTCATTAAAGCATCCTTGGAGGTGGGTGGGTGGGCCTGCAGCAGGGAGGTGACCGCACACAAGCAGAGCTGTCAGGACCAGACAGCGCTTTGATACATGGAGAGACGGCATGTTCATTATTCATTCAACAAACAACGACTGAGCACCTACTAGATGCTGGGAACATAGTGGCGATCACTTCCTGGGTTCGTGATGCTCACAGACTTCAAACAGGGACGCGTGGGCATCCTCGGGGCACAGGCTGGAGTCCCTCACCTGGGCTTACCTCCAGAAATGAAGACCACCGGTCAGAGGACGATCCGCTGCAGAACCCAGAGATGTGTCAAAGAAGACTCTGAAGATGTGTCCACCGAGGAGTGGCCAGCCACCCAGGCAGCACGGTCGGGATCCACAATGGCCTGTGGCCGGCTGAGCTCTGGGCGGTGGGAGAAGGGAACCAGGCGTCCCTAGCCCAGGGCTCCCCCACCTCTGCCTGCTCTGTGAGGAGGCAGCGAGTCCTGCAGGGGAGGCCGGGGGAGGCCATTAGCTCTCCGCAGCCCCTTCCCTCTGCGCTCTCGGGAGGCCCCCGCTCCCCCGTGACCGAGGCTGAGTCGTGGCGGGGGGCTGATTTGGAAGAAACGAGGCCAGGAGACCCCTCGGCTGCTCGCGGGAGACACCCCATTAATCTTTAACAAACACGAAGCTCCTCCAGGCCCGGCCTCGGCTAATGAGGCCTGTTTTCCCAGGGCCTCCCTCGGGGAGGGGAATTAGCCACCGCGGGGGCCCAGGAGCGGGGGACTGATGCCCGGATGAGGGGGGGGGGCTCCTTCCAGCCACTGTCAGGTCCCCTCCACTGCTCCCCACAGACTTGGCCCCCAATCCGGCCACTTGTTTACACGCGCTGGCTTTGATGTCCCCTGATCGGGGCCTCGTCCACACAACAGATCCCACAGCACAGCTTAGTGAGTTCCAGCATCTCGTGCTACTGTGGGGCCTTCCTCCCACGGAGGTAGTGACCTGCAAAAAGTCCCTGGGGAATGGCTCCCTCTTGTCCCTCCCCGCCCCATCCCCGGGCGACCCAGACTCACTTTCCGTCATGTGGACGAGTTCGCATTTTCTCAGTTTTATATAAATGGGATCTTCCAGTCAGAGGGACGCTCGGGGACGGAGGGGTTCTCTCTTCCCCAGGAGGAGCGTTGGGACAGACGGTGCTGTCCCGATTGAGTCCTCGGTGGGTACACGTCGGCACGTCTGTTCTCTTTATCTTTTAAAAAACAAATGTTTGATTCTTAGAAAATTGGGGCATCTAGACAGAAAAAAAAAAACTGGGAAGGCAGAACAGAGAGATACCAACGAACCCCAGCCCAGGTCCCCTGTTAGGGACATTGTATGTTAGTATGGCACGGTGGTCACATGCATGGACCAAGAGCGATATGTTATTGCTATTCTTGTTATTACTATTATTATTAGTGAAGGCTCCAGACTGGATTGAGATTCCTTGGTTTTTACCCCACGTCCTTTATCTGTCCTGGGACCTTCTCCAGGGTCCACGTCGCCTGTGCCCTCTGGGCCCCTCAGGTTGGCTTCTCCGACGTCCCTGGTCTTTGGCTTCCTTGACAGTTTTGAGGAGTGGAGCAGGGGCCCAGGGATCCGGGAAGCTGCCCCTTTATTGGGTGTGTCTGATGTTTTTCTCATGACCACACTGGAGCTCTGGGTCCGGGAGAAGCCCATGGAGGACAAATGCACTTCCCGTCACCTCCCATCTCACCCAGGGACATCATGAGCCTGACACCGGCTGCCAGTCCTGACCCTCTGGCTGAGACACGGCTCCACGGAGAGGCTGCTCTTTCTTCTTCTTTCCAGACTCTTCTCTGAAAAGAAGGCACCACGGGGCCCCTCTGCAGAACTCGGGGTGCAGAGTGGCCGGGGGTTTGTGGGAATTCTGCGGGGCAATGTCTTATCCTCCCGCTCACTTGTCGATTCCACCATCGTCTCCTCGCGTCACCAGGGGCTCGAGGATACGAACTCCACAACGTGGGTCACGTGCATCTCTACGGCACGAACCTTCTTGCTCAAACGGTTCCAGGTTTGGTCCCTGAAAGCTCTTCCATTTGGATCCCGAGTCCCTCCGTCCCTCGATCGTGTTCCCGTGGCGGAGAGGGCGATTTTTTTCTTCTTTTTCTGAGCACTTGATTACGTTCTGACGCACCAAGATGTTCCCGGATCAGAATTTCTATTTCTTTCCCCAAATGAGAAGGAGCCTTTTCTCGGAGGAATCGTGGTCTTTTTTATGGGAATGGTGTCAAACCAACAAGAGGGCTCTTTGCTAGCCCGTGTCCTTCTGACTGTCAAAGCAAGGAAATGTACGTGTGCACCCCAGCTCTTCCGTGGACACACCTCTCTGTGTATTTTTGTATGTGTGTATCTGTCTATCCATCTATCTATCTATCTATCCATTCTTTCTATCTATACATCCTATCTATGTATCTATCTATCTATCTATCTATCCATCTATCTATCTATCCATCCATCCTATCTATCTATAGAATGGATAGATAATCCATTCTATCTATCCTATCTATCTATTCTATCTATCCATCCCGTCTATCTATCTATCTTCTCACCTATTTTTTTGCAGTGTTGAGACCCGAGCCCACCCACAATCTAGGCAAGCAATGATCCAACTCACGGCACCATCTGGACATCCATTAAGCGGATCCTGAGTCCTTGCTGATGTCCCCCGTCAAGTCCACGACTACCTGGGCCCTTCCAGCCTCCTCCCCTGGCCCCTCTGAAATCTTTTCCTCCAACAGTGAGAATCCTGCTTCCCATCGGCTCTCTGTCCCCTCACACGTTCCATCCTGGTGTGCGCGTGCGGTGGCTTCAGAAGGCCAGCCCGGGCTCTTGTGGGGAACGGACTGATCCGACAGGGTACAGCTCTCAGGCCCCGTTCCTTCTGCCCAGGTCTTCCAGCCGCCAATCATGCCCACCGTCACTTAGACTTTGCATCATATCTACTTTCTCCCACGCTGCACCCCAGAGAAGAGTTTTAGGGCCTTAAAAGTTTCCCTGTGGCTCTCCTGTTGGCTCCCACCCAGAGCCCTGGGCCCACCATGGTCACCACGGCGACGTGTCCACTATCTCACCATTTTGCCTTGTCCAGGGCGCCATATATTTGGATGCCTTATTGCAGGGCTTCCCTGTCGATAGGCGATACGCCTTTAAAGTCCCCTGTATCTTCCTGTGGCCTGTGGCTCAGTTCTTTCAATGCTAAACAACACCCCTCTGTATAGACCGCACCCCCACTCACAGGACGGTGCCGAGCTCTTTAAGATCTTGTACAATGACAGCACCAAGGAAAGAGCAAGGCGAATACACAGGAGAGACACGGCAAGCAAGTGGAGGGGAAATGGGGGCTTTTTACACTGGGGCCACCATAACCCATCCCCATGGAGCTCAGGTTGCAGGAGAGAAGTCACTCCATCAATGACACAAGCAAAAGTGAGAGCCCAGCTGTGGCAGGAGCTGTAAGGTGAGAGATTTGATAGCCGGAGCGACCAGGATTGGAGGCTGGACTTGCTCAGAGGTCCTGGGCAGCTTCCTGGACCAAGTCCTCCTTGAGCTGGAATCCGAAGGGGGAGGGAAGGGGAAGGGTCATCGGGAGTGTAGTTCCTTCCTTCCCTTCCTCCAGGGCCAGAGAATCACTGTCCTGCCCTGCCCCCACGGACCAGGAATGGCCACTGCTTTACCCAGAGAAGGTGAGTGGAGAAGACCTCAGAGTCGGCACCTGGTGCACGATCTCTCTTTTCCTTCTGATCATGGTCGTCAGCAATATTTCAGATCTTGCTGAATACCCAGCACAGAAGTCAGAAGCACAGCAGAAGCCCCACCCCGCGCTCCCCGTGAGGAACGTGCAGTGGGAGTGAGAGACGATCCTTTGTTGGGTTCAGCCATGGAGATGTGGCAGGCGTGTTTGTTAAGGCAGCATCGCTTAGCCCATCCTGACCGGTACACCTAACGGAGGGAGGTGAGACAACAACTCAAGCAGAGGAACAGCTAGACTATACGCCCACGTGGGAGGTTCTTGATAAGAATGAGGTCCTAAGACCCGAGTAGTGCTAGATGAGGATGGAGAGGTGGCAGGATCCAGCTCACACAGGGGAGGGGCTTAACCGTCCTAAGAGCATGGTGGTCGATGAAGGGTTTTAAGCAAGAGGGTGATGCTTTATCCAGACCCCTTTAGCCATTGTGTGGGAAACAGAGAGCTGGGGCGGGAGTGGAAGGTGGGACTCCAGTGGAATGTGCTGCATTTTCCCAGGGAAGAAACGATGGCGTGTTGGGTCCCCGGGGTGGGATACAGAAGAGTGGGTAGTTTGGGAATATCCTGGAGGTTAAAATCGACAGGATGCAGTCATGAGCCTGCCATGCCCTCAGCAAGTATTTGGAGAGCTTCCTGTGTCCCAGATGCTGCATGAAAACCATCGACTCCTTGGGAGAGGCAATGAGGGTCCTTCCTCAGAGCCCCCAGCAGGAGCTGGGGTGGGAGAGGAGCGGAAGGTGGAGCTGAGACAGCATCCAGGATGAGCTCTTCATCACCAAACTGGGGCACCAGGGGCCTTCGACCTGGGGGTCACGGGAGTCACTGTTCTTGACCAGGCCACCAAGAGGGTGAGTTTGGGAGCCTCCGATTTGGAAACTGAGTCCTATAAACAGCCAGGGATGGTGGCCTATGGGAGGGGAAGGTCCCAGGAGGGCTGTGATAATTGACTTAAAATCTTCAGAAAAGCTCCCAGTGGGTGAGGGAGTGAGTAGGGTCATGGGGGGCCCAAGAGTGCAGAGGTAGGATCACAGGAGGCCAGTGTCGAGGAGGCAAATCTCAGTCCCGGAAGGAGAACTTCCTAACAATGCTGGATGGCACTCTGGTCATTTTCTAATGTCAAGTTGCCGTCAACTTACCGGATGAAAATGACCCATTTATTCTCTTGAAGTTCCGTGGGTCATCATTTCAGATGGCCTTGGCTGGTCCCCCAGACCAAAGGCCAGGTGTCATCAGAGCTGGATTTCCTGATGGAGGCTCTGAGGAAGGACCCACGTACCAGCTCTTTTGTGTTGCTGACTAAAGTCGGTTCCTCGCAGGCATAGGAACGAGGCCCCCACCTCCCTGCAGTCTGTCGGTGAGGAGTTCATCTCTGTCCTCGGAGGCTGCCCCAGGCCCTTCTCATGCTTTCCACGTGGCCCCCTCCACCAAAGGCAAGCAGAGTTATTTTTGTGCTTCCAACATGACTTCTCCTTCAGCCACATCTCCTTGACTCCAGCTAGAGAAAGTTCTCTGCTTTTAATTTGTCATGTGATCATGCCATATCCACCACCTGTATAAGTCAGAATCACCTCTCTATCTTAAAGACATGTTTTAATCACATCCACAAAATCCCTGTGGCTGTGGAATGTAACATATTTATTGCTTTTTAGATGCGGTCTCACTGTGTTGTTCAGATTGGCCTCACACTCCTGGGCTCAAGCAATCCTCCTACTTCAGCTTCCCAAAGACTGGATTACAGGTGTGTACCACCATGCCCACCTTGCTAGTTTTAACTTTTTCTGTCATTTCTTGTAAACAACAGATAACCAAGTCTGTACTTTATCTGACCTGAGAATCTTGATCTTTTAATAAACAGATTTTAACCATTTACATTTATTGTAACATAGTTGAAATTATTTTTTTCATTTTATTTTTTAATTTTGATTGCCATACTTAATTAGTGTGTGTGTGTGTATTAGTGTCTCTTTGTGTGTGTGTTTGATTACTATGCTGCTTTTTATTTTCTGTTTATCTTCCCCCTCCTCCTCTGCTTTCTCTGTTAGATTGATTGAGATCATGACCCTTTAACACTTGGAAGCTACACTCTGTATTGTTCTGTTCTCCTCTTAGTGACTCCACTTTTAAAAAAATTTTTTAAAAAAAATATTTATTATTTAGTTATTTCGGTGGGCACAATATCTTTATTTTATTTTTAGGTGGTGCCGAGAATCGAACCCAGTGCCTCACGCATGCAAGGTGAGTGTGCTACCACTTGAGCCACACCCCCAGCCCCATGATTCCACTTTTTAAGAATTCTTATTTGCTTGTGTCTACTGACACCTACCCTGTGCCAGCCTGGTGGTAGAGATGCTGAGAGTCAGGATTTCCAGAGTAGCAGCTGCTGCCTTTGGAAGATGTTGAGCCAGGATAAGCTCTAAGGTCCCCAAGACTCGAACACCTTAGGGTTTTAAAAGTCTGTGATTCTAATATTTTAAAATTCAGTAAGTCCCATATACTCTACCTTTCTCCCGAGATTTCATGATTTGACATTCTAAAACTCCGTGGTTCCATGATTTTATGTAATTCTTAAACTTTAAAGATATATGTTATCCCCTAAATCTGACATTTATAAAACTAATTAGCTTCATATCCTACAGTTTTTAAATTCTAATGTTTTACTCATTACATTTTCTCACATTTTAGGATCCTTAGATTCTATAAATGGAGAGCTGTTAGACTTTGGGTGTCCAGTTTTTAAAGACTTCTCCAGTTCTGGGCTGGGGTGGTGGTTGCTCAGTGGTCTCTCAGTGGTCGAGTGCTTGCCTAACATGTGTGAGGCACTAGGTTCCATCCTTAGCTCTGCATAAAAGTAAGTAAATATAATAATTTTTTTAAAAAAAGATTTCTCCAATTCTAAGATTCTATGGTCCTAAGTTCCTGTAAGGCTGGAATTGTAGAGTCCCTGGGTCTAACATTACGGAATTCTAAAATACCAAGACGTGTACACTGGAGTTTCAAGAATAATGTGATTCTACGTGTCTCTGGAGCTAGTGTTCTGAGACTCTCTGCTGAGATTCTGAGATTCTCGCCTGGGTCTCTTGTGGAGTCCCAGCTGCTAGGATATCTCTAGGGGGCACCTCTGAAGCCAATAGGTCACCTTCTGAGCACCCCATCTCAGTGCCACCAGCTCGGTCCCAGGTTCTCCTGGGACTGCGGCGGCGTCATCCGGCTCTGCAGTCAGAACAGGCTCCATCACCTGGCCCTGGAATAGTGGGTGAGGACCATCAGCCTTGGGTGGTGATCCTCCATCATTTTCATGCTGTGACATCCAGGGCTCCTCACATGTCTTGAGTCCCTGTTTCCCAGGCCCTTGGGCCCTCGCCGGCACGGAGGCCCTGACTAATCAAACAAAGTGGCCAGCACCCTGCAGAGGGCAGGTCCTTGGCCAGCAGTTGTGCCGGAAGTGTCTTAGCCGGCAGGCCCTCACACCTGGCGTGGATGGAGACGTGACAGATCCCTTCCACACCCCTTCCCACCTTCTCTTTTGAAATATTGCCTGGAGCCAGTCCTTGCTAAAGGCCAATTTTCTTCCCCATCTACTTACAATTTATGGTCCTTCCAGATTGCTATCTTTGCTGGATAATAGAGATGCGAGAACCAGACGGTGATCATCTTGGAGAAAATAGAGAAGTCCAAGCCATTTCTCCCAATCCTGCCATTTTCTTCCTCTCGCGTGCCTTAGACAGAGTGTGTCAGGCAGGGATTTTTGGTTGCAAATACGGACACCCTGTTCCGTCCTGTGCTTGGCCCATGTAATGGAAATACGGGTACAATGCCTTAAATAAGCCCGCGCAGTTTCCTCTCCACAGAGAGCGAGGAATCCGATGATAAACACTGCATTTGCAATCCAGGCAGGAAACCAGTGGAGAGGCAAAGGCTCAGAGCTTTCTCCTAGGGCCTTGTCCTTTTCTTTGGAAATGACATTTTCTCCAAGAAACTCAGCGCCCAGAACCAGGGGATGTGGCCACTTAGAGCTACAAGACTGTTTGGAAAGCTCTTGCAATTGGATACTGCTTCAAACAAACCAGGATCCCGTTGATAAGAAGGAAAGTGGATGCTGACAGGTGACCATCAGCACCTGCCACAACAATGAACATTTATATAAGTGAAAAAAAAAATCCCAATATACACAGGCATCAGGCATGGCTGGATCCAGGGGTTCAAACAGGAATTGAGAACACTTCTTTCCTGAGCATTCCATTAAAAAAAAAAAAAAAAAAAAGCCTAGATCTGAGTTTCCTTGTCCCCATTTGGGTCACAGATCTGTCCCTGGCTCATCCATTTTGTGCCTGGGGACAGAGATTGTGGTCGAGGATAGATGCTGGTTGTCCAGGTTAGGGGAGTGGCCCTCTCTCAGAGCTTCCGGGTGGGGCCATCTGGACCATCAGGTGAAAGATCACAGTGGGGAGGTCAAGCCTCCAGTCCCTCCCTTCTGAGACAGGGGCCGAGGCCCATAACCCCCCAGGATGGTCAGGAAGGTGGGTTGTGGTGGCTGACACCGTGGTGCCATTTCTGATTCTGCCAGGCACCAGCTCTGTGACCTTGGGCATGTCACTTGGCCCAGGGTGACATCATCAGCGCCACCTCTAGCGTATTCATATCGTTACCTGCCTGGGAACCCCACCCAGGAAGACTGAGATCAAAAACCAACCTCCAAACGCCCGAGCCTGTCCCCGTTGCCCACTCCTCATGCCGACTCCAGCAACCAACCCCCATGGCCCGTTCTGCCTCCGCTGAGGGGAGGGTCTCCCCCAACAGGAGCTTCGGGGATGGCTCGCTGACCCCTTCTTTAAATCTGTCTCCCTCCGTGTTCCAGGGCCATCCCTGTTGGAAAAAATGACTGTCACAAAAGATCCCTTGGCAGCAATTATCTAAATGGGAGGCTGGGAGGGGGAGAGCCATTTAGAATCCACTTCATTGCGGGATTAGCTAATTAATTAACGGTTTCACTGACAAGTCGTCGGAGAAGTGTGTGTTAAACAGGAGCGCGGTGGGCGTGAGTTACAGACCCACACCCCTTGTGCCCTGCCACCCCTGTCCCTCCTCCCCAGCCTCCCGCCGCCCCCACCTTTCTGCCCACCCGCGGTGCATGGAGGCCGAGGGGACCCTCTCTCCAGCTCCCTGTGGAGTCCTGGGGCACGGCTGCTGGCCAAGGGGGGGGCCTCGTGGAGATGACAGAAGGGCAGCTGGGGAGGGGGTGGCGGTGGGGGGAGGACACACGGAGACAATGGAGAGATAACAGGCAGCTGGGGCTCCAGGGGTGCTCATCTGCCCCTTGCCCCCAGCCCAGAACCACTCCATCTGTGCCCGCCCAGGCACGCGGGCGGCAGGCACCTGCTGGGCACGGCTGCTCCCTCTTCCTCCTGGATTTGAGGACATTTCAGATCCTTCCCACCCTCCTTTGGGATGACAGAACCATTCGAGGGTCCCAGAGATGTGGCTATAGCTTTTCTCTGGGAAAGGGGTTTTCTTTAAAACAGACCCGGGATGAATGGCAGGCCAAAGGGAGAAGCTGCCAGAAATGAGGGTGGCCTCTGCACAGCCCGGGGGACATCATGGGCCAGAGCTGGTCCATGGGCCTGGGCAGCGCAGATGTCATACACCTACGCCACTGTGATATGGCCATCGCCAGCCCAGGCTGGACCCACCTTCCTACCCACCCATTATCAGGTTCTGGGTGGGGGCCAGGTGTGTGACCTTTAAACACCCGGATTCTGCATGTCACCAACATTTTAGAGCCTGGACTCACAAACTTGCTAAAGAGAACCAACAGTCCATCCACATCTGGAGCCCGCAGACAAGACAAGCTCCTTGGTCTGCTTGCCATTCTTCCTGCGGCCGTGGCCGTTGTACCCTGGGCTGGGCGACTCCCCTCAGGTCACACGGCTAAGCCTGGCAGAGCCCAGCAGAGAGTATCTCACCGTGGAGAAGGACCTTGTGGAAGGACATCCGCCTGGTCCGAGCCTCAGTGGCCAGCGCCCGTAGAGACTGACATTGTCCAGGCGCCCTTGACCTTGAGGCCTGTCCCCCTGTCCTCTGTGGCCCCTTCGGTGCTGAGCTCCAGCTTCCTGGAGGGGTCAGGGGTGAGATCCGCCCCTGGTTTTCAGGAGGACGGGAGACGCTCCGGGAAGGTCACCCCGTGGGCAGGGGCAGGGGCAGGCTGC